GGATTAAAACCATATGTTCCACGATTAGTTCACGGACTCAATAAAGACGATTTCGATTACAGTATGGAATTCTGCAAAACATTCCTTTCTCTTATAGAGGGTGATCCTGGTCTTATCAATGGAGTGATCTGGTCCGATGAGGCTACATTCAAACTCAATGATAAGGTCAATCGTCACAATTCAATTTACTGGAAGACAGAGAATCCAAATCTCGTGTGGGAATAGGCAATGCAAGCCGAAGGAATCGCAGTGTAGGCTGCTATTTGGTCTGAAGTGATTGGTCCTTTCTTTTTCGAAACTACTGTGACTGGGCAAAATTACCTATCTATGTTGAAAGATTATTTCTATCCACAATGCCGTCGACTACCAAACAAAGATTCATTTGTTTTCATGGATGATGACGCCTCTTCTCATTATGTGCATGGTATTCGTGAGTGGTTCGAACAAAAATTTTCAGGGAGATGGATTGGTCGTCGAGATCCTATAGATTGGCCTGCCAGATTGCCTAATCTGACACCTATGGACTTGTTTTTATGGGAATATCTCAAGAAAACCGTATACAGAAATAAGGCTAAAATTCTATCAGATCTTTAAAAGTCAATTATACCTACATTTAAAATACTTGACTCTGATCGGTGCGCGAAAGTTTATGGATCAGTGCCTGAAAAACTGACGGGGGAAGGCCCCCCACTGTCAAGTTGCTTTGGAGTCTGAACTATGTACATCATGTAGGTCCTAATGAGCTATGAATACTCTGAAAAGAGTTCGAGCCGCTGGCTTATTACTATCGAGATACTGCATTTTTACGATATTTTTAAATAAGCACAATGCCGTGGCCCCCTCAGGAACCAGAAAAACTGAATTTCGAATTTCGACTTGAAAGTTTGTACAGAAATAGGCTTTAATGAGAGTAGTTTATTGTGAAAAGCTTCAGGTCTTTTAGTTGTTTCTATCCTAATGTATGGCTAAAAAGTATGCTTTTGACATCATTCGTACACCCCCAACAGGTTCTGATGTTCTTATTTCAGAACAGGAACAACCAACAGATCTGAAACTTCCACAATAAACTACTCTCACTTAGATCTGTTTCCATGCCAAGTTGCAAGTCGAAATTCGAAATACAGTTTTTTCTGGTGTTCCTGAGGGGGACCACGGCATTTTGCTTAAAAATATCGTAAAAATACAGTATCTCGACAGCAATAAGCCAGCGGCCCGAACTCTTTTCATAGTATTCATAGTCCATTAGGATCTACATGATGCACATAGGTCTGACTCCAAAGCAATTTGACAGTTGGTGGCCTTCCCTCGTGAGACACTATAGTGCTGCTGATGGACATCAATTTGAGCATTTAAAATAACCTATTCTGCAACTTTTGTCTTTCTGTATTCATTTGATGTCTTCAATAAAAGTTTCTTTAACTTTTCCCTGTTATTATGTGACGTTAGGATAGCGATAACATGCATAACATACTATGAATCTCTTTTCTTAGAACATGAAAACTCGTCACAAAAAATAAGTGGAGTTGGTGATGGCAATTCAAAGCCGTATATATTCATGATTTTATTATCAGTAAAAATTTTGAACATTTCTCTATCACTGATAAAAAAAAATTAGTCCTGCAGGTCGAATCCTTCTAGAGATATTGAAGTTTTCATCGTATAGATATTTATGGGGCAACCTGCATAATATGAACTGCTTCATATGATGTTATATCCGAATATCTTATTTGCCTCAGTTTTTTATTCTCCACCTGCAGTACACAATATAGAAATTTCGATTCGCCTCTTGAAACTTAATCCCGTATTTTCCTCGCAGAATCTCTCATGTGTTTTTTTCGGTCGGAATCACGACCATACTGAGCATTGATCTTGACCAGCTTTCGAAAGGAATCATACTACAGTCTTAAACTTTAGATCTAGTGCGTACGGACTTTAAAGTTTTCCATAAATATTTAAACTCAAAAATTTATTTTTCAAGTAGTGGCTCGTGGATGGATTCGAACTTTGATGCTGTCGTCTATCATGTGTTGATGTAGATACTTATCCAGAAAATCAGTAGCATCCAACGAACTTATCACTCAAGCGCCCTTGTCGCCTGTGGCTCGATTGCTAATAGTGAACAAAGTTCTTATCATATCCCATGTAAAAAAAATTGCCTCAATAATCACAAAAAATCTGATTTTTAATCGATTATAATCATACGATTCTTAATCACTAATTTACACAGAAATAATCACAAAAAAATCGGTTATTTTATTCGATTTGATTATAATCGATTTTTTAACTCAATTTCGAACCGATTATAATCAAATTGAATAAAATAACCGATTTTTTTTGTGATTATTTCTGTGTAAATTAGTGATTAAGAATCGTATGATTATAATCGATTAAAAATCAGATTTTTTGTGATTATTGAGGCAATTTTTTTACATGGGTGATTACTCAAGATTCAAATCTTTCATTTTTGACTTGTATGATTGTGATCATTTGGTTTTTAAAATACATAGAACGAAGAAATAATACAGTGTAGATGACTGAGTCACATTGCAATCAACTAGATCGAGAAGTCAAACAAGCACCGGATCTGTCATTCATAAAAAGCAAGTTGTTTTCATTAACGGATGTACCTTGCCAGTGGGAAAATTTGATATGATAAGTCGGATTATAATCAATTTGATTTAGTGTTGAAATATATTGAAACTTGATTTTTCACTGCTAAGAAAATATTTCATGTCAATTTCAATTTCTTCTAATTAACTTCAGTCAAAAAAAATGTTCAATAAGATTTCATCAATTTGAAAAAAAAAACAATTTCAGTCAATTATTTAAATTCTATGCGAGAAAATCGATTTTAATATATTCTCTAGGATAAAGAAGGGGTGTGGGTGTGGGTGTGGATGTTACTGTGGATACCGATGGGGTTGTGAGGAAAGAATGTCGGTAGGTGAGGTTGTTGCATGTATGTGTTATGGATTTTGGTGTAGGTATCTATGATTGTTCTGTTTGTTTAAACCACAGCAGCATTTACACCTAGACCCATATAGTGACTATTATACTCTCGGCACATCTACACTCTCAGATAACCGACGGAAGTTTTCTTATAGTCTTTCGGGCAGAATGTGAAGTTGGATCATATATTAATGGTCACGACTTGAAGACGTACCGTAGCTTATAGAAAAACTTCGAAATTCTATTGTGGAACGAGCATAAGCTATGTGATCTGCTCTGATTGACGATGAAATTGTTACTTACTAATGCATTGGGGATAAATATAAAAACATCGTGTGAACGTCATCTATGAACATCCGTTTATATAGTAAGTGACGAGCAGATTATTTTTCGCTCAAGCTGTAATCTAGTAGCTTCTATTTACATTTTTTTGAACTTCTTAAACGAAGAAACTCAAACATAGTGTGAACTTGGGTAGAACTGTCACTGTTGCGTTCTGTTACTAGAAACTGGAGCCCGGATGGGTTCCCATTCCCAGGAAGGAAGACTGAACCGAAAACGCGACAGACACTCGTGTTACTAGTAACAGAAACTTTCCAAGCTCACAAAAATAAAAAGAGTTTTCAATATTGAAAGAATTAGTGTGTGGAATGTGGAAGATGTTGGTGTAGATGTTGAAGGCTTCTCTTCGCCTACACCCGTATCTACACACCCTCATCCACCTCAGGCACTTATTCACATTGGCACCCATGTGGCTTCTTTGATAGTCACGCGTTTGCCAAAGGTTAGGTGTGGAAAGAGAGAGAGATCGAAAGAAGAGCCTCTTCATTATCTACCAGGAGATGGACGAACACCTGCTCTGAAATACCTTTTCGAAAATTTTCCTAAAAGCTCGAACAATAGGCGCAGATCAATTACAAGTCGCTAGACATATTGTAGGAGCATATGCTTTTTTTAAAGTAATCTTCAAATTCTGTTGTCGTTTGAATAGAATTAATCCAATATACTTGTTTTAGCAACGAAGATCTTTCTTACTGTTGAATAGTCTGCAGAGAACACAATAATATCTGTATTCTTCCTATGCAAATGTTTTAATAGAGCAAGCGAAAAGCACACTGGTTTTCGCTCTTGGATGTATCGATAGAGTTCTCTTCGCATTTTTCTTCGATATCTCAAAAGAAGAGTTACAAAGGAAGCAAAAGCTTGAAGTTATTGCAACTGCACTCATGCAATTACAGCGTTGATAAAGAATAATGCGTTTGTGCGATAGCAAGATGTCGACTTTGGTAATATACTTTCTACTGCAAAGAGACAATGACGTAGTTTAATAGAAATAGAACCATTTCTCTTACAGAGTGTGGGGTGTGTATGCATTCAAAAAAAAACGTAGATTTAAAAATTCGTTTAAGGGTTGGCGGATGTAGGTGTCGGTATACGGGGTGTGGGTGTGAAGTGGAAAAAATATCAACGACCATACCCACACACCCACTCGACCCGTTAACGTTCTCTTTGAATTTATTCTATTCACTTTCGTTACTATGAATCATCCAAAGAAAAACATTTTATGGCTGCGTATAAAAAAAACACTTAAAAAATTCAGAAAATATTATTTAATCAATGATCTATTGTCAACATACGATGTTATCGGAGCATGATTCATGTATTATTAACATTAGGGAAATTTCAAAACCATTTTATAATTTCAACTAAATTCCAAATAAAACTGTGTATGTCTATGCAAGTCAGCTTTCATTATTTGAAAAAGTATTTTTAGTTGCAGAATAAGCTTAACTTTATTACTACTAACAATGACAAGTCAAAGTAAGTTGTGACACATTTTTTATATTGAATCAGAAAGAACGGAGTTGAGTTGCCAGCAGTTTCTCTGCTGACTTGATTATTGTCGTCGAGAATGAGACTGATGTAGATTAGCATTCCGACTATATTCTCTAGTGATCGGTGCTCACAATCAAATTCGCCGCTCATCGCACCTTCCACCTCTGTTTTTTAATCGACGATTGCAACAGGCTGCCCAAAAGCATTGCAATCGAATGGCCCAGCTTAATCAACTGTCACATGGAGAAAGTATCCCGGGTCAAGCAACTGTAGGTGATCGTGCCCATCAGGCGGGCTACCATTATTCAGCTGTTGGTGAAAACATTGCGTCTGGACAAACGACTGTTGAACAAGTCATGCAGGGTTGGATGCATAGTCCAGGACATCGAAGCAATATTCTTAATGGAACGTATCGACATATTGGGGCAGCAGTTGCGCAGTCGGCAAACGGCACGCGCTTTTGGTGTGTAGTACTAGGTCAACGTATGGGCAGTTGAAGAAAAATCGTCATTAATTCAATCACGAGGGCATCATCTTTGATCGAACTGCTTGAAGGACTCATTTGACATTTTAAATTTTTTTAAAAAGAATAATCTTAAAATTGAGAAGATGTGAAGAGCATGTTTGTTTCACTTGAGGCATGTCACAATTTCTTGAATTCTAAACTCAAATATCAATCATGACGCACACCTCTCTACGCGTAAAAATACATAAGTATAATCAGAAGCGGGTATGGGTGTGGGATATGGATACCTGAACAATAAAAACAGTCGTAACCACCACCTGCCACAGTCACATTCACACCCAACACTCTAACTAAGTTAGTATAATATAAATGTATTCTTGCTGTTGAACCTTGATATATGTAAAGATATAAAGAAAATTAGAACGATTAGAATACAAGCCATGTTTCAATCAATTTGCATTTTTTCTTTCAAGTTCTTCTGGTGAATAAGGTTGACTCGAAGAACAGAAAATTTTAATTAGTTGTATTATTGAGTGTCATATATTAAATGCCGTTAGAAGCTTTTTTACACAATAAAAACGATGAGTCACATTCACTATGAAAACCTTATGTTGAATTTTTATTTGTCTTTCTTTCTTGCACAATCAGCATGTAAGTCTTGCTTATATAATCACATAGTTACTTCATATATATGATCCTTATTTTAACTCAATGCATATTACTGTAGACATTATATTAACCATGGCAGCTAATTATCTAAATGAAATTATTTCAGTATTTCTTCAGCGCAATGTAAAAGAACTTAATGACAATGATTTAAATACTGCTGTCAGAAATAACGGACACTCTTGTTCAATTGAAGAGATTCGTTGTGTTCATCGCTTTTTCAAATTAGATATAATCAAGAGGGCGTACTTCTCGTTCGAATTCAACCTTTAGTGAGTTCATTCTACCTTACTGTTTTTATTTTTATTTCTAGAGTGTATTTTAGATAAAAATATGTAAAGATTTTCTTACTGGAAAATGTAATTTCAAAACGGGAAGGTGCAATCGACTTCATTTATGTCATCATTTTGATTATTATAATACAAAAGAGTGTCGTTTTCCACGTGATTTTAGTTATGATTATGAATACAATCGACGTATCATTGAACAATCTAACTGTTCAATTGTAAATCCAATATTACTTCTTCGTCTTATTCAACTTAATGAAAAATTGTCTCATGACTTATCTCAGGTAATATTTTTTATTGTATACTGTCGAAAGCGAACTTGTCAATGTAGTCAACAATTACATTTCCTGTTGTTTCAAAAACTCCAAACATGAAGCCATCATAATCACCATCAGTACAACCAAAACCTATTCAACAAGTTTGTCAACGAAGAAAACGTATTCATTCAGGGGTAGAATCTCGATACGATTATGCTAAAAAGGCTCGTAGTACACGCAACATTACTCGACCAACATGTACATCGCCAGTATAAGATATGCATTGCTCATTTGATATTACTTTTCCATTGAAATCTCTTATTCATCATATTAAACTTCAGCAAATCGCCGAATTCTTAAAACAACAAGGTCTAAATTTCGTTGTGGGTGTGGGTGTGGCTGTGGGTGTGCAGATGAACAAATCACACACACCCATACCCTCACTCACACCCACACCAACACCCGTACCCACACCCACACTCACACCCCACACACACACCCTGATCATTCGGTTTTTAAAGTACATAGCACGAAGAAATAATACAGTGTAGATGACTGAGTCACATTGCAATCAACTAGATCGGAAAGTCAAACAAGCACCGGATCTGTCATTCATAAAAAGCAAGTTGTTTTCATTAACGGATGTACCTTGCCAGTGGGAAAATTTGATATGATAAGTCGGATTATAATCAATTTGATTTAGTGT